CCAAGTACGCTTGAAACATGGTTGCAATTCCTAATAGGTCTTGTCACACTTAAGGCCCTGCAAGCTCCATCCGACGAACAGCTGAAGCTCGCTGGCGATTCATAAAGCCAACAGTTTAAAGTTTATTATGATGAAAGCACTTAATGACAGCCATCGCTAGGGGCCCATCATTTATAAAGCTGTGCAGAGTATTAGACATGTAGCATGACCACCAATTTTATGTCACAATTGCTACCATAAAATGACCTTTGGTGATTTTTGCTGCATGTGGTGGACAGCTCTTCCTTCACATTAGTGCTCTGTGGCTTTCTTTGCAGACTATTATGCTGTCTAAAGCTTATTTGGCACTGTCGTGAGCCTCAACCCTGGTTATTACCCCGAAGGCCTGTCTTAAAAAAAAAAAAAAAAACCCTCATGCTCTATTACGCCACTCCAATAATTTGCAGTTCTTACCAGCCTTGGGTCGTGTAATATTTTAATGTAAATATGCTTTACCATTGCATTTTATTTATTTATTTATTTATTTATTTATTTTTCAGGTTTCCTATGTGTGTGCTGGCTAGGGAACACCATTCTCCTGGAGTTCTTCCCCAATCAGGTCTACTGCCTGAGCACTGTTGATTCTGACCAGTTAAAACAGTGCCAGAAGAAAAAAGGGGGGGGGCTAATTAAACTTGGGTTTTTAAAATCCCACGGATGACGAACCTACCCCGAGCAAAACCACCAGTTTAAATTTATTTCCCTGCTTCCAATGCTCCCAATGCAAATTTACATCTTAGTGACATTATTTAATTAGGCTTCCATTTGCCACCCTGCTTTGTATCCTTAGAGAGTGTTTGAATGCATGGCCACTTTACTGCTCCCATGTAAACTGCCGTTGAGAAAGTGGCCTGTCCATGCTACCTTTAAATTGTGTATATAATTTTATAAATGATATAAAATCTGCTTCTAGTCTCTGGGGGAAAAAAAAAGAACTTCAAGCCTGGCACACTGCAATTTTGGAAGGATTTAAAATCTGTGATTTCTGCCGGTACCTACTGTATTGGGTTTTATATAAAGCTTTTTCAATAAGGTAAATTGTTACATGACAAACTCATCCCCCAGCATTATCATCTGCTGTTTGTGTTTAACAACAGGAGTCCCGCTCTAACAAAACTGTTGTAATGGCTGCACAAATTACTCAGCTGAAAGCTTTTCACCAAACAAAACAGTATTAATCAGCAGTTCTTATGAAGGTGCTAATTAAAAACAATTTTCTTCCTCAGTTTGCAATACTAAAGCCATCTTCACTTGTGCAGCCTCCAATGCAGAGCTACTGTATTTGCTCACACCTCACCCTCCGCTGACTACTGAGTCGCCTGTCAGCCATTTCATTACAGTTCTGTTTACAAGCTTGTTGACATTTTAAAAGTCACAGTATGATCTGTTTTATCTATTAAAAAATGTATTAATTGAAAAGTCAGGGAGACTAAATAAATATAAACAAACAAACAAACAAACAAATTCCAAATGCACAGGCTTCCTGAGCAGGATACACAGAAAACCTTCAGTCACAGCCTGGGCAGCAGGCAATCTGGATAAAATGGACTCTGAGAATTCAAAGTGGTATTTCAGGCCTGATGGTGTGTCAGACAACAGTGGGCTGGGCTCCTTTATATTTGAGAAATAGTCCACTCAGGAAAACGTATTTGCTCTGGTTAAAGTCAGTGTGCCTTTCAAACTACCTTTCCTCTGTGAGATCTACTCAGTGTAATTATGATGTTTCCACATTCTGAAGACAGGGGAGTTTGATCCATGGAAGACAACCAGAGCCGGAATCTGGGGCCAAGCAGCCCAATTGTTCCAGTGACACTGGGGTGTATGCCTATGTTCAGTGGGACTTTCTTGACCATGTGGGCATCCAGCCCCTCCCCCAAAGTCCAACAAAAGGGTTTGCCACACAATGCTTCCCAACTGTCTAGCATTGGAACCAAATCAACCGCTGACTAAGCACAAAGCCAAAACTCTACAGAAGCTGAGCTGGAGACAGGAGACAGTTCCCAGCTATCAAAACAAAAACAATAACACTCACCCATTAGAAAAAGGTGTGCCCTACTTTGGCAGTGGGGAGAAGAAAACAAACAAAACAAAACCTAAAATACAACTACCATGATTGCGTTAACCAGGTTCTTCAATTGTCAAAGTCACTTAACCAGTTAGGACAGACACCTGGTTGTTAGACCATGGCTGGCTCCAGAGGGTCACTAATCCTTCCTTTCACTCAGTTAACTGCTGGATCCCCCAAACTAAATTCAACAGGTATGCAGTGGTAAATTCCGCATATACTGAAGCCAAAGGGAAAGTCAGCAAGGGGTGGCAGCTCTTCTCTGAAAACGCCAGAGGAACCAGCCAGAAAAGCTTTTATGGACCCGACAAGTTTTCTGCTGAATACTGAGCACCTAAATTACCCTTCCCTAATGGAAGTTCATTTTCATGCTCAGTCAAAAAGCTGCCAAAATACACAATTTATACAAAATAGCGCTTACCTCTCAGGTAGTCTTTCTGAGCACTTTTATCCCAACTCACAGCATATGTCTTGCTATAAAATAAAACATATTTCTCATAACCAACTTGGACGTGCCTGTTCATATCACTGCTTACACCTGCCCCTGGACAATATTAGATGCATTCTTACACCCAACCCACCGCTACAAAAGAAAACCAAAATCCTTATCAGAAGATAAAAATCTATAAAAAATACTAATTCTTAACATTGTTTACATTTTAAAAAAACCTTTATTGTGGTGTGTGTGGCCACAGTGAGCACAGGGAAGAGAGAGGACAACTTTTGGGAGCTGGGTGTTTTTCCCTTCCACCATCATCTGGGGCTGGGGATGACTCGGGTAGCCAGGCTTGGCTGTGAGCAGATGCCTCTGCTGTGCCATCTTCCTGACTCACAATATCCTAACTCTCAGGATTTCCAGGCTTGCAGGCTTCTCTTGGAAACAAGCATGTGCATACTTACGTAGACAATTGTAGAATGAACCACTTGAATTCTGACTACATAACCAAATACTAATGCCTAGAAATAATCATACAGTTTATGAAGACACAGACCTAGATTAACTTTCTAGAGTTGCCTTATTTTTTCCTTTACAATATCTGTATTCTATTAAAAAGTGTGAAAATTAATTTAAAAATCTACTTTTCAAGTATTTAAAATTATAAGTACTTTGTTATATACTTTGAGAGAACCTAGCACAGAGATACTTCCAGGTAAGGATTCCAGAAATTCTATCTATGAATCCATGAACATGGAATAGGGGAGTCTTGAGGTCATAATCATCCCATGATAAATATATTATTTACTGGATGTCTCTTAGTAGGAATAGCTCAATTCTGATGCACTGTTCTCAGATACTTCTAGAAAACACACTGCTTGTTTGCTTTAAAAAAAGAAAAGAAAAGAAAAGAAAAAGAAAAAAAGAATTTCTCCCAAAGAAATAAGCATCCCATCTGCAGCACACAAATGCAAATTGAATTTGTGCCAGTCGAGTATTTTTCTGGATGAAAAGAAAGGAAATATTCTCATGGTCCTGCTGTTCTATACTTAAAAAGAGGGAAAAAATAGACCATCTTAGGTGCCACTACAGAGACAGGTTTCCTTTGTCTGGCAGATTTTGTTGCAGGTTTTTGCCTAAGAAATAATTTTCGTTGAATTTTTGTTGGTATGAGTGGAATGACTTGTGTCGCCTTTTGAAACATCCCAAATTCTAATTTTTTAAACAAGAAAATACAAAGCCAGTGTGTAACCCATACACTTGCAAAGGAGAGCTGCCACCAGCTGAACTACTCAGCTAAACGGCTGGTTTGCATTGCCCTGGGCTTTATGTAGCCCTGAGAATAGACTGCTGTTTTATCCACGGAGCAGTAAATCGCTGTTATTGTGATGCTAGCCCATCACTTGGCATTGCAATTCTAGTTTCTGTGAGGAAGAGATGTGTGATCTAACTGCGGCTTGACCCTCCTGAGACCTGCCTAGGTGTTCTGATGGAGCACAGAACGTGGTAACTACCGGGACATGCAAATGAAAGGTAACATTTTTGTTTGATGATAGAAGTGGGCAGAGAAAACATTTGAGAGTCAATATTTTTATGGTAGCTAAGTTTGCTTTACATGCAAAAAGATGAACCAGCCACCCCTGGCCCTCCTATCACTTTAATTGTATCACATTCAATATACACTTTTCTTCTGCTAAAGATATGAGGATACACAGCTAACCCACCTAATGACATTCCTGCCAAAGTGGGCACAGATGATTCCTTGCAGATAAACATCTGAATTTCCACAAAAGGCATTAGAGCACTTCATGTAAGCAGCAGGCAGGATGGGCTGGGGTCCCTGCAGGAGAACTTCATCAGGAGTAGCACCTATTAAATGTTTACTGTACACTCAGATCCCAGGAACCAACAATATATACTTGTTTTAAATAAGGTAATTGTGTGATCTTTCTTTCCTTCTTTTCTTTCTTTCTTTCTTTCTTTCTTTCTTTCTTTCTTTCTTCCTTCCTTTCTTTCTTTTTTTTCCTTTCTTCCTTTTCTTTCTATCCAGATTGCAATATAGTTTATCCAACATTTATTCAACATTTCTTTGGACCTATTTTGAAAGAGCCTGGAGAACAGCAGCAGTTAGATTTAAGCCCTGATAGAGGCTCACTTTTCATTCATAGTCAGAGCCTAAATGTGCTCTTCTTGTACCTAAACAGATAATAAGCAGTCAGCGCGCTCCCCCTCCTTGACACAGCACACTGAGACTAATCACACATAATTGGGGAGGAGGAGCAGAGGGCTGGCCACGCTATTGTGTCCAGCGGACAAACGGTCAGTTTACGAGGCTTCGGGCTGATGTCGTCATGTCTTATACATCTATAGGGGAAAAAAACATCCTGTTTAAAAAGAAAAAATAATGAGAGAGACAGAGACAGAGAGCCAGAGCCAGAGAGGATAGACTGAAACAATTAATTGAGACATCAGAAAAATAAGATTTATTTATTTATCCAGAAAATAAGGGTAATGTTTTCTGTGTTTACAGATAAAGACTACTATTACCAAACAGAACAAAGGCAATTAAAAAGAGGGGGTGGGGGGCAGGTGGAAATCATTAAAAAAAATTTTCTGCTTTAGAAAGAACTATTTAGATTGCTCCACAAGTCAAATTCTGATCTCAGACAGGCTACTGACACATAAAAACACACAAAGGTTTGGTACAGGAGAGCAACAAGCTGCCTTAAAAAGAAACGGTGGGAGAGCTGCGGAGGGCCAGAGTAATGGGCGGAGTCCCAAGATGTGGAATGCTCGAAAGTGGGTGGAGCCCTGAGTCCCAGGGGAGCCGTGGCGACTTCTCATCGCATAGAAGTCATTCTGTGCATCTGATGTTTTCTTCTATCCCGTTTTGGTTAAAATAAGCAGAATTGGGTAGTGGAGATTTTCTTCATATATGTCCGACCCTTCTTTTTTCAGCTGAAAATAATAGAAATACTAAATTTTTATAAATTAGTATTAATGTTAATTTTAATATCACAATTTCTTAACCTAAATATCTAATTCTGGGAAATAATCACAGGAAAGCAACTCAACACAGTTTTTAGTGGTACTGGCATGCTGATTATTAAAACAGGAACTGGGGAGGGGGTGGGTGGAGTTGTTGTTTCTTTTTGTTTTAGGTGAGGATTGCCTGGTTGTACCCAAACTACACCATGACTGAGGGAAATCTGGGGTACCTTCATCTTTCCCAGCCTAGCGCTGGGCATGTTTCTACCTCAGTCTGGTCCTTGCTGCCCTACGCAGTGCCATACCACTCTAGGCAGGCAAGGGTACTGGAATGACTGGAGACCATCGGAATAGCTGGGCACCGGGACACAGCTGTGGGCTTCAGACATTTCAAAGGTCGTCTAGGTCTCGTTTGGGGGCATTTACAGCAAGTGGTCATTTAGGACTCCAGCCCACTCCCAGAAATGTATTCCAACACTTGATATTGCTAAGGTGAATTTCTGAGGACTTTCTGAGAGACAATCTTAAATCCCAACTAACCTTCAAACTTAAAGCACACATTCTGGGAAATGACGGGTAAAGCACACTTTATCCCCCTTCATTTGGCTAGAATAAATCTGACAGTCACATTTATATTTATTCTATAAAAAGCAGTTTGTTTCTTCTTTTTCTTCCTCCTCTTCTTCTGTTTCTTTTGAGATACGGTTTCCCTGTGTAGCCCTGGCTGTTCTGAAACTCACTCTGTAGACCGGGCTGGCCTTGAACCTCAGGGATCCACTTGCCTCTGCCTCCTGAGTTCTGGGATTAAAGACATGGTCCACTACACCTGGCTAGCTTCTAAGTTGGTATTTTTGAACCAATTGTTAATTTATTTTTAATTTATAAGGGTCAGAAATCTTTCCACTGTACAGGAAAGCAGTTCTTTTATTATTTCAAATCAGTCACTATGAGTCACCCTAAACAAACATCCCATGAAAGGGATCATATTCTGTTGGGTTGTCTGTCGGGGATATGTTTGCCTGCATCTTTTAGAAGCATATGTCTCTTCTAAGTCCTATTCCAAAATGGTGACATGTCTTCAGTATTAAAGACAGGAGTCTTGAGCCCACCTTCTCCACTGGAACCTATGGTCAGTTTCACCTCCTTTCTTTCTCATTCATTCATTCATTCATTCATTCATTCATTCATTCATTTTTGAGACAGGGTTTCTCTGTATAGGCCTAGCTATCCTGTAACTCACTCTGTGGACCTGCCTGCCTCTGCTTCCCGAGTGCATTGACTAAGGGCGAACGACAGCACCGCCCTGTTTCACCTCCTTTCCCAAGAACAGGAAGTAGGGTGGTTTCTGATGTGAGCTCATTTGCTTTCTTAGAAGTCCACTCACAAACGACTAGGACTAGTCGTCTACTTAGAGCAGGCTTTGAAGAGCCTCACCACCCAAGCCCTAACAGTGTTCCTCACTCTCTGGTCTAATAAGCATCACGACAATTCCAAGAAATTGGCTTCCCCAACTCCACTGTCCACGTGGGCTCTGAACACACCTTGTAGTCACTCATTGCTCTAGCAACGGAACAAGATCATTGAAACATTTCTCAGAGAGGAGAGGGGGCCACCATAGCTACGTTCTTTTCTCCGGGCCTGGGAATAAAGGACTGCTGATCACTCTGAGCGAGTCAGCTGACCTACTCACTCTCCAGGCGCCAATATCCAGAGTCTCAAATGAGCTCTTTATAAAGTCCCTGAGGTAATATACGGGATAAATAATTCTTCTGTAAATATGGTTTAGAAATCACTTTTAATTTGAATTCTGTGCTGACCTCTGGAGGCCAAAGCAGAGGTTCGGCTGTCGGAAGGGGCCCGAAACCAGCCTGGTTCTCCCTCTGAGCCTTTCTGGAAATGGAGGAGCTTCCTACCTCACAAACACCTACCTGGTTATCTCTGAACCAAGTAAACATGGTATAGAAGAGTCCTT